CCCCACGACGCTCGTGTCACGCGGACTGCGTTGCGTAGATTGGGAGTGCCTGGTTGCGACAGAAAGGTAATTATTGGTAATAAATAAATGGATCGACTTGTATGGCGCATAGCAAGCACCACGCGTTGAGAAAGGGAATCTACCGAATTTTCCAGTCGAGAACTTTGGTTGCTTCGCGGATATCGGCTGAGAAAAATAACGCAATTGATTTTAACCATTCACAGAGTCTGATTCCCAGGGCTTCTTGATGGCAAGGGGTCTCAGAAGTTTGGAGGGCAGAGAAGAATTCAGACCGCCAGAGAGAAAGTTTCAGGCCGCGAGTCGCGCAGAGTGCGGGAGAATGAGAGTACGGCAGATAGTGAAATGTAAGAGAGAAATTCTGGTCGCTGAGTGTCGCGGTAGATGATTGCTCAGATCGAGTTCTGTGAATCGTGAGTGAGAGATCACGTTTATCATCTAAAACGTATTATTTGAACTTGTGACTGATAAATGAGTTTGAAACGGAATCTCGCGTACCGAAGCTCCGTGCCTATTAATAGCCAGCGTTGTACTCGATACGCAACAAAGTGATCAAACGAAGTTCCGTAAACTATTCACAACCTGCCATGTGATGAACATTGCAGTGATGCATGACGTAGACCCGAAACGACCACCCACCGCCGCCCGCGGTGAATGAACGGCCTCGCCGCGACCTGCCAAAAGGGTCGCTTCCTGATTCAACACCGCTCGGGAGGATGCCTGGGCCGCCCGATCCCGAAGAGCTGATGTTTTCGGCGAATGTTCGCTCCCTGCGATGTGTCCAAAAGACCGACACGCGGTGGGTAGAGCGAATACCGAATGTTCGGCGCTCGGCGAATCGTCCACACCACTCGGGATATAGCGGTTGCTATATTCGCCGAATGCCGCATTTGTGGAGCCGCCTACACGGTCTTGCCAGCTGCCCAAAGAAATTTTTTTGACATTTTCTCAAATTTTCGATGCCATAACAGTAGAAACGAAATGTTATTTTAAGAATATTAAAGAAGAGTAAAATCTCGCCGTAAAAGGCAGTTTTCAAGAAAATGGCGTTAAACTTTATTGTAAATGCGAAATTTACAGTTCCTTTTCACACAAAATTTCGAACAACTTAATTTAAATTCATTTGAGGTACTTTAACTCACAAATGCAGTTGTGTTTACGAATTGCTGGAAATGTGCATATCAAAAGCATGAGATGCATTTCAAAAATAATACATTTGTGTGATTTTTGAAAATAATATGACGAAGTACATTTTAGGGTAAAGAGTGCAATTAGTACTATGCATTCGAAAAGTTTGAAGAAAAAAAATTGGAGCCGTTTTAATAAAATGGCGTTTGAGCGTTTCTTAAGATGATGAATTTTGAGTTTATTTTGACAAAAAAAGTGTTATCTAGAAACTTTAAATGACGTTACATAAATCACATGTTCTCGTAAATATATGTGAAAAAAATCACTGCTAATGTTTTAAATATTAACGTGATAATATTAACAAAGTAAAAAATTGTAATAAAAAAATGAATAGAATATAACGTTTATGTCATCTTATAGAGTGCATTTAGCACTATCCCTATCTATTCCCCAAGTTTAAAGAAAAAAATTAAAGCAGTTTTTGAGGAAATCTTGTTTTTGTAATTTTTTTTAAGTTACAAATATAGCACGCAATATTGCACGAAAACCACTATAAAAAAAATACACGACAATAATGAATTAATTGCAAAATTTTGAATTTTTTTCAGGGACATCGTACAACTACAAAATTGAAGAGAACCTTCAAATAAGCTTTGTTGTTCATAATTAGTTCTTTTGTTGTCATTTTTTTAAACTTTTAGTAGTGTACATGCAATATGTGCAATTTTATAAAAATTACAAAAAGATTTTCTCAAAAACGGCTCAAATTTTTTTCTTGAAACTTTTGGGAGGGATAGTGTCTAATGTACGCTCTAAAATGACAAACACCATATTGCTGTATTCTTTTTTTTCTTCAAAAATTAGAAAAATGTAATTTTTTTGAGTCTCTCATGTTGTTAACATTTACATTAGCATCGATTCGTTCACATTATTGTATTAAAGAGCAAACATATTTTAAATGTCATAAAGTTTTTCAAAAACTCAAAAGTTTTCTATGAAAACAAACTCAAAATTTTCAGTACCGCTCAATTACCTTTTTCTCTGATTCGGTTCCAATTTTTTTCTTCCAACTTTTCATGAATGGTGCTAATTGCACTCTTTGAGATAACACAAGGGTCGTTTTGCTGTATAATTTTTCTTCTCCAAAAATTACAAAAATGTAATTTTTTAAAAATATCCCATGCCGTTAATAAGCACACTTCCAGCAATTTGTAAACACTATTGCATTTGTGAGTGGAAATGCTTCAAATGACTTCCAATCAAGTTTTTCGAAAACTCAACATTTGTCTGTGAAAGAGCTTCAAATTTCTCATTTACAGTAACCATTAAAAACCATTTTCTTAAAATAGCTCCAAACTACAGAATGAAAATTGCCATTTAGGATGAGGTTTTATTCTTCTTTAATATTCTTAAAGTGATAGTTCGGTTCTATAATTAAACAGAAAAATTGAGAAAACTTCAAAAAAATGGAGTTTGGGCAGGGATAGATGGCAGCTGGCAAAAGTGTGCGGCAAGACAGCACTAGGCAAGACAACACTAGGCCAGACCAAAGAAATGTATGGGTGTTTGGGCACCACTTTGAAGGAGACAAAGTGCAAAAAGGTCAATTGTCAAGTAGTTTCTTGTCAACTGGGCTAGTCTCAAAAATGTTTCAATACCTCCCCGTACACATATTACGTTGAACATGATTCAAAAAAATGTAATTACTAATAAACTACCGTACTTAAAATATTCTATGAACTAAGGTTTTAAAATTGAAGGAGAAGATTTAAAATAAAGAAACAAGTTCTAAATGAGAGCAGTAACTTAAATAAAAAATCACAAAGGAATTATCTACACAACGAAGAAAAATTTACATTATTTAAAAATATGGAATTCCTAGTTTTGTTGTAAAGGAAAAAAAGATAGAAAATAAATAGTTAAATACAAGGAAAATTTAACATTGAATGAACACAACTTGATAAATACCTAATGGCTAATAATTAATAACAATAAATGAAACTAATTAATTCTACACGAGAGTGTGTTATTTGCTCATTTCAGTAGATAGAGCCAATCATTTTCTAATATACCCCATTAGTATTACTTACAAGTAGATTTCTCACTACAGCTGTGTACAGTCAATTGAGCTTTCAAGTGCTTTAAAGAGCAATGCAAAAAGAAGATAGGTGAAGAAAAAATATCAATTACCTCAAACTGCATATGGTAAGTATTCAGGAATGTGACATAAATGAAAAAAAGGGTACCTTTAGGAACATATTAATGATATCTTAAAATTGTATTTAACATTAACATTTCTAAACTATGAAAGGTATATAAATGGAGTTAGTATAATAACTCAACATTTTAGCACAAAATTCTTAATGCCTTTTATTGAAATTAAAAGAATACAAGAAAAAGTAATTTAAAAAAACAGAAAATAATCCACTATTTTCAAAATTTTTGGCATAACAGTAATGCATCTAGTACTTCATTTTCTATTCTAGAAAAAGTTCTTAGATGAAACGTGTTCCAAGACTAGTTCCAATATCCTGGTGCTGGAAAAAGTGCATCTCCAAATTAGCATACAGTATGTGAAGAGAGACATACTTATTTATTTCCTATGAAGATCTAGCACCCTATAACTATACTCTACTCCAAGATGGTGGTGTTCTGTGATATGTACATTACTTGCGCAGTAGGTCTTTTAATGGTTAAACCAAGTGCAAAATAAAAACACAGAGTTAACCTCTATATACTAACATTTCACAATACTACTTAAAATAAATGGAAAGATAAGAATGTCATGAACAGAAAATAGATTTGCATACTAATCATTCAGTTACTAAAATTACAAACCGCAATCCCACATTTTCAATTTGTTTTGAAGCACTACAAAACACCTACATTTCTTCTAGATTGGATCATGCTTTTGGTGGATATAAAATATCTGCAGCCAGTATTACAAGCTAGAGCACCACATTCATGAGGAATGATTTTCTCCTACATGATAAGTTAATTACTTATTTGAGCACGTGCATACAAGGTAAATAAATGGATCTTGATAAGTAAATTTCTCATTCCAAGATGAGATAAGTCTTAATTTTGGTAAAAAAGAAGTGGTATAGAACAAACCATGTCCAAACTATATCTTTCTTCTCTTCATTGCACATATAATGAATTAAAGCCATCCTTTGAGGAATGCACAGAAATTGATGCATATGATGAAATATCCATAACATAAAATTAACACTGCCTCTTGATAATAATGTCACAATAATGAGATGCAAGCTGTGTAAGTTATAAAATTGTTTCATGAAATTGAGTATTCGAACAAAGTCTTCAAGGTATTTTTTAGATACAAATGTACACCTGAAACTCATACTATTCAATTCCCAATAATTTGATTATAAAAAACATTTACTAAATACAAATGCAAGATAAAATAATGGAATATGTGTACTTAAAAAAAATATTAATAATACATTTCTATATGGAAATTTCTGGAAAGAAATGAAAGAATTAATATTTTAATAAACATTTCCTTGCACATATATGCATTTAGTATATACATATACATACACTGAAACAAAACATATAAAGAATAATAAATAAATGCTCTCTTCTTGAGTGTTTAACTCTTGTATTTTCAAGAGCTCTGAGCTCTTAAAGAGAATATCCTTCTAGTATTAATAATTGTCTTATCACAGATATTCCAAAATGCTGCGCATTTGCAACACTTGATAACGGGAAGACTTGAAGGACATACCATGATCTCATAAGAAATCATTTATTGTAAATCATCTGAACATTATGAAAGTATAACATTAACCAAATCTTACAATAACATGCTTATGTAATACTGAAATTACTCTTCTGAAAGAACTTCTCTCTCTACCAACAAACTAAGTTGCTGATGAGAAATCGTAATTATATATTACTTATTTGTAGTGTTGTAGCTGTACCTGAATTAATAAATGCATTACAATAACATAGTCAAATTTGATACTTAAGTATCCATACACAATAAAAGCTTTGGAACAAAATATAATGCAGTCACATTTGGTATTATACAATTAATCAGTCAATTTACACAGACTCTTAACTTGGAAATTTACAACTGAGCTTATTTTCAATTAAAGATGGAATAATTTCAATTACCAAATTCTCCAAATACAGAAATTTATGAGGAATTCTAAATAAATGCAATACTTACATTTAAAAATATAATAACACTGAAATTACAAAAACGTTTTTCTATTGCACCTATTGTACAATTATTCTATTTTCAGATCAGCCCCTTTGGAAATAACCATTTACATATATACAAAAATAATTTATTATAAATAAGGAAATAATGCAAGTGGGAAGTGGATTGTCACAATTTAAATAAAAATTGCAAGAATTCACAAACTGACTCCTAAATACGTCTGGAGGAAAACAGAATAAAGCTAACCTAATTACCAATCAGTAAACAGGAAATTTTGAAGTACCACTTAATTCACTTGTTCAGAATTCCTGGAAAAATTTAGCACAAAATCTGTATACAAAACCACATACCCCACCATAGTCTTTAAACCAGCCAACATTCAGATCTCTCAACTAGATTCTTTCTCATCTCCAATGCCACAGCCCAAGTTATCTGCGCCTAACACAGACCTGTCATTAGAAGAGTCACTAAGCGGCCTGCTTTCCCTTGATGAATCATCACCAGATGCACCAACATGTAAAGATGAAGGACTAAGATGAGATAACAATCCTGTTTCTGTAGAGGACACACCTGATAGTATTGTCTCAGACGCTGTAAAATTTGAAGATGCTTCTTCAATTACTGCATTCTGAGTAGTAGTTATTTCTAGTTTGGAGAGTTCTTTCACTATGTCTTTTTCACCACTTTTGGATTCTTCTGTAGGCAGTTCACCTTCTGAGCTAGAGCAATGGTTATGAATAGTAGTAGTCTCATCATTTTCAAGAGCGGAATTAATTTTAGAATCGGAAACCTTCTCTGTTGTAGGTGATGTTTTCAAAGCTAATTGACCAAGATTGGTATTCTCTACTGTGTTATCATACAAGCCATGGATAGCATCATAATAATTTTTCCAGAGAAGGTACTCTTCTCTATAGGGAGTCAAAGGTATAATAAAAACAGATATATCATCAATTGTAGCAGCTTTTCCATCAGCTGTTCGCCAGTTTCTATCTTGTAATTTACCACGGGAATGCATTACTAAATCTTGTGCTGCTGATGTATATCTGAAACATACATTGAAAATGAAACATCAGTATCCAAGTGAAATGTATTCTCTGAAATACTAAAATTATTCATAATAAAAAATACAATATAACTTTTACAACTTTCAATCTGAATGCATACTTAAATCCTTTTGATCGTACAAGATGAGTGTATGTAAATTTAACACTTTCTTTCCTTTGAAGTTACTAAAAATAAACTTTAGACCATGGCACATTAACTCAATTCCTGAAACAAACTTCACAATGTAACTAACTTAAAAGAGTATACATTTGGTAACTTTTTCACATCAACACCCATCTCTAGGACAGTCTGTTAATAAAGTTTTGATAGCAAAATTTCTTAATTGAATTTTATTGGAGACTCTCATCCCATTAGAATGATTTACATAGGATGCAGCAGCTAAATTGGGACAACAGTAAGTTCACAATTGTTAGAAAAACTTACGTAAAATTTACAATAAAGAGTGAGAGGAATAGGTGTTATATTTTTATTAAAGGACTCCTTTTAAAAAACTTAAATTCAATGCAACTTCCCTCTTCCTCATTATCAACTTTATTCTGGGTCTGAGTTGAGAAGTTGTATTGATCCCTGACCTTTTCCTGAAAACATGTGCCATGGCAACTGAGGTATGTAATGTTGAGTGAGGAGGAAGGGGGCTGGACTTAAACAGGCTCATCGGCAACACTCGAAAGATTATGGTCCAACCGATTTAGATTGAGGCTGTACAAGGGCCGAAACATTCCAATAAAATTTCTACATTGTTGGAGAGCCAGTTTGGCACCAAGAGTGTGCAAGAATTCCATGTTGCTGAAGCTCTTATAGGTTTGTCTTTCAGATGCTACCTTCTTCATTGAGGTCTTTACCACCATCAATAACATTTGCACATAAACACCTTTTGTGATATTTTCTCTCTCTTATGTTCAAAATTGAAGTCAATTTTCAAAGTGATTTCAAGAATCCTTGATAACTTTTCATGTGCTTGTCTTCTCCTTACAACTTCATACACACATTCTTCTGACTTCTTGCCAGCCAAAAAATTCTTTAAAAAAGGTAATAAAACAGACAAATTTGTTAAGTTTAACTGATGCTCAACCTATGCAAAGACTCATCATATTCACAAATCTTTGATTATGCTCCAAATCTATCAGCATTGACACTAGCATCTCATCCTTATAACTGTCTAGTAGATGAGATTACGAATCTATATCATGAAACAGATTTAAACACAGTAGTCAAGAATTAGCAGGAAATTCAAAATTAAATTGGTCTCAATTTAGCTGCTGCAATGTCTATTTATTATTGTTTTAATTATAACAAATTGAAAGTTGTGTAAGAAAAATTTAATGCAAAACACTTATTTTCATTTTTTTAAAGAGGGGAATTGGGGAAGTAAATACCAGTTAATAATTATGTTTTCATTTATTTTATTTTCTTAAGCCAAAAAGTAGTTTTACCTGTACTTTAACCTTGTATCTTCAGTCAAAAGAAACTGGCCAAGACTCTTTTGGACAATTTCCGCAGCCTTATCATTACTTGTTACATCCCATAGTCCATCCGTGCCCATTACCAATACATCGCTTTCTGTTATAGATAGTAGATCCAAGACTTGAACCTAGAATTTTTAAGAGAGTTGGTGACTTTATGTGAACAAAATCAAATAGTTTTTTAAAACTTCTCATACATAAAAATTACACAGTAGTGAAGAATAAAACCAATTATTTGATTGTTCATTCAAACAAATGCCTAAATACAGAACTTTCTTAATATTAAAACCAATTAATATTGGCACACATTACACAAAACATAAAATAATTATGGTTAAAACACAGTAGAGTTGTAACTATTAAAATGTTTTATAGGTAATGACTGATTGTTTTGATTGGCTGACTAGTGATTTCAGGCATGTCAACTGCTAAAGTCATCAGTCCTGTAATTTTTGAGCTTGTTTTTATTACAGGGGGTGGTAGTGATCTTCGCCCTCTGGACAGTGTGATCTGGCACCGACCTACCCGTTAGCTTGTGGGATTTCCCCCAAACATATCTCCCATCAGAGGAGCAACGCCCCAACTGGGGCACACTCTAAGCTCCTGAATGGTCTCCCAACATATGTGGTGTGTAGAGAATCTAGATGACAGTGTGTGTAAGTGCAGCTCCGACATTTGCCTGGTATTCATTGGAGAAACAACCGATAACTAATGATCAGAGTAGCCAGATGGTAGAAATCACCCCAGACAATGGCTGAATTCAACTTAACTAAGTAGCTAGTGTCGGAAATCCTGCCTCTGACAACACTTGAACCCTAGGACTTCCTGGTCAGAAGCACTGCACTGACATCAATTGATGCCCTGAGTCAAGTAAGTCTATAATGACTGTCCTATAAAGATGTATTATTTGTCGAGATGAAGTCATATCTCGTGGCAGATAAAAGTATCTGAATTAGAACACACAAGAAATTAACAAAATCTAGCAAAAATTATTGCTTCGCTGAGAATTAAATCTTTGTTGTATTGCAAATCTTAAACATTCTTAAGAATAAAACAACAATTTTTACTTTCTTGTTACTACTTACACAGTAAAGAGAGAGTTAAGCGAGGAATTTTCAGCAAAAAACACTTATTGGTGGTCCCTGGAAAGGAATTTAAATACAGTTGCTAAGTTTAGAAAAAAATTCTTCTAACATGTGATGTAGCAGGAATCCATGTTTTGTGGGTCTTTGATACTGAAAAATCAATTGTCAGCAAGTCTGTCTGCCTGTGAACAACGCTTAATTCTTCTACCTAGCGGACTTAATTTTTCAGCTGATTTTCTCCAAAATTGATATTCTCCAATCTATCTGGCTGATGTCATGGCCCCTTGAATTTGTAACCAATAATTTAATTGTGGGGGTATTTTAGGTGAAACCTCTGAGACATTTTCAAAAAAATGGTTCCAACATTTTTTATTTAATTTTGTTGTTGAATAGTGTGAAGGACATTTAAGAGAATGGCACAGGTCTCGTGTTTATTAAAAACCCTATTTTTCGAAAATTACAAAAAGGTCAAAATTTTTTTTTAGTGTCTTCCTACAATTAAAGATAAAGACGTTTTGCTTCAATGGAATTGGTTCCTTAAAAGGGCAAGGTTCCAAAGAATTTGTGGTACAATATATAATACACTAAAAAATAAGACAAGGCAACATACAAGAATACAGTTATATAAGACTGGCTCTTCCTACTCTTCTGTATGTCAGCAAGGGTTGGGCACCAGTAACAAGAACCTTAAGTAGAATTAAGACCGCTGAAACGAAATTTTTGAGTAGTATGCTAGGCTGCACAAAAGATCATATTTCTAATGAGAAGATTAGGGAAAAACTACATGCCGAAGGAATTGGAAGCAAAATAGCTAAATACCAAAACAGCTGGTATCAACACACGCAAAGGATGGATAATACAAGACTACATAAATTAGCTTTACTCTATCAACTGCATGGAAAAAGAGATGTGGACAGATTCAAAAAAAAAACAGAAGGAAAACTTGTGAAGAAGGAACAGGCTCAAGCCTAAAACTTCGTAAATATCCACCTAAAACACTTGTAAAACCGTGTTGTAAAAAAATAGAATGCACTTCTAGCTGATGCAATCAAAAGGAAACACTTGAACACCTTCATATATGAATATGAATATGTGGTATGTACATGTACAAAACTTCAACAATCTATGGTCTATGACTGATTGTGATTCAAATTGTTACTCCACCAAACTGAATTATTGTATAACTTGTTACTCCATTGTAAGATATGTTTACAGCAGCTTGTTGCTGCCACCATCATTATTTTTAGTTGATATAAAATTGAAGATTGAATTATCTACTTTAGAAATTGTGCTTCAAACAATTTAACCCTTTTTCCAGGACTCCGCTAACATTTGAGCTCCATTCAGTTGGTGCGCAAACTGTTACGACTCACATCAGAGCCGTGTTGCTGTGACTAATTTCTTTATTTACTCTTAGTCTCTGTTGAATGTTTGCAGCGACATCAGATATTTTTCGAGTTACTAGATTTTGAAGAATACTAAGTGGCTTTCAGGAGCCTGTGAGCTTCTTTTTTTCTCTTTGTTACGATGTCCATTGATGGCCGTCTCACCAAGCCTGTCAGTCTCCCTAAAACCCCCCACAGGCTCCATCCTAGAATATCACATTTGGGAGTCCTTGATACTGAAAAATTGTTTTTTCCTCAAATATTTGTTCATCTGTCAGTGAACAACACTAGTGCCTAAATCTGGCTGAAGTTATTGTTCCATTAATTTGAAAAGGATATTTTCATTTTTGGGGCTCCTGTTTACATGAAGCCCTTGCTCGTATTTTCAAAATTTTCTCAAAAATTCCTCCAGTTGGCTCATCAATATTTTACTGAAATAGTGCAAAGTACACTTATAAAAATGACACATGTCTGATTTTCATCAACACCTTAATTTTTGAAAACTTGTAAAAGTTTCATCATCACCATCATTTTTTCATCATCGTCCTACATCTACATTATGGAAAGTAGAGATTTCTTTTTTAATGAAATTTGTCCATCAAAATTAGATCTCTAAATAAGGTTATGCCCAATTTTTGAAAATTTAAGAAGTTTTCCCATTTGGATTGGTGCATGAAATCGCATGCATGGTGCATGAAAATTCATGAAATCATGGCAATTTTTCTCAAAAACCACAACAAGTTTTTTCCAGTCAATATCTAGATCAAATACAATAAAGATCATTTAATAATATGTCATGGGCCTTATTTCCACTAAATTCTCCAGAATTATTTTAAATTGAATGTCCCCCAAATTCTTGGCGAGTTGCAACCAGAAAATATTGCAATTAATAGGTTTATACAACTATTCAAATAGAGATACTCACGCAACCATTGACATTTACTTGAAACTGATATTTGATTCATACATAATAATTCCCTAACATTGTCTTCATACAAATAATACTATATAATGGTTTGAGAAATGCACATGTTACATTCTGACCAAATCTAATGCAAAACGTTCACGGATAACAGGTTTAGACCAATGCTGTTGAAAAGGCTGTGATGTTATTAGATATCATGATTACACAAAAATTCAAGGGGAATGTTTGATTGATGCTTTCAGGTAAAAAAATCATATTTTGGAGACGGCCTTTTTTGACCAAACATCACAGATAACTCTTACCTCAGGCTGAGAGAGTAAGAACGGTTTTATTGGATTATTGCAATACAATGCTCTTAAATCATGATCACCAAAACCACGTGTTACTCCAATTGTAGCTAGGACACGACTCTGAAACAAAAATTACAAAGATCAATGAAACATTTTTATAAAAGTGATGAAGAGGATAGATGTGGTCAAGTTTTACAAAAAATTTCAAATTTAACATCTCACAAAACAAATAAATGTAAATCATCAGGTAAGAGTATAACAAGAACTGAAAATAATAACAAAAAATTTACTTTATACTTATACAAATTTATTTTAAAGAATTTCCTTCACAACAAATCTTGGGGGCATTGCATAATTAGTTAAAATGTACTTTTGTTCCGATATCCTTATCCTTCAAAACACACACTGCATATGACTAGACACGCAAAGAGTATGAAAGATACTAAATTTCAGTTCAAAAATTGTCTAGAATAATGGAATCTCCATTCCTTTTGTGTGTTTTACTTAAAAAATAATTTGCTATTCATTGTATTAAGCATTTCATTAAACAATGAAAGCAATCTCAAAAGAACACATCACAAGATTTTAAGATACCCAAAAATGACGTAAATTCTGATTTGACACAACACTGGTTACCAAATTCCTCCCCCCTCCCCAATATTGCAGTATGATATCTATGTTGATACATGAATTATGTCTGATTGCATTACCTATCCTTCAATTTATATATTTATTTACTCAAAGTTTTCTTTATTTCAACTCCAAATATTAATAGACTTCATGTTACATAAAAGATGGAATTAGGTAATTTTTCTTTTCACCACATTCTCTCTAGTGCTTACCACTGTATAAAAAATTTAGAATCTATGAAATTTACAGATCTTATTGCCCAGGCACTTTCTTATAACGTGGTTCAAAAATACTTCACCATATTTAAAACAGGAGTAACCAATAAATTAATTAATGAAACTAGCAGAAAAAAAAACGAACTTTTTTTTTACCCTCACCTCTAAGCTTCACATTTCCAGAAGATACCCATAAACACATTTCCAGGAGATACCCCGAAACACATTTCCAGGATATACCCGCAAACACATTTCCAGGATATACCCACAAACACATTTCCAGGATATATCCACAAACACATTTCCAGGATATACCCACAAACACATTTCCAGGATATACCCAGAAATTTCTCAACCTCATCTTCTCGTAACGTTTCTACCCCCAAGAGTTCCCAGTTTTTAATCTCAAATTGATTGATACTACTCAGTCCTCCCATTGACCTCTTCCAATATTTTCTCCTCCATTACTTGCATTAGTTACTTCCTGGTAACTAGGAAGACATATTTATCGCAGAAAAAGGTCTGCCAGAATTGCACTTTCCTTTAGGTATCCAATTTAAAATTTGTTTTACAAATATCTCGTCCTGCATTTGTAGGACATCCCTCAATCATGTGGTCACACCCATACCATATTTTCTAATCTTCTAGTTTTGATTGTTTAACCCTAATTCTTTTCTATACTATTTAATTTCCTTCCTAATCTAGCCTTGTTATTGGCAAAGATATAACCGTGAAGTTGATTGATTCTATAAAGTTTATCGACTGACCTAAGCTTAGACATGTAATACCATCACAATACACAAACCACTAGATGAAACCAAGTATTAGTCATGCTGAAAACAGAAACAATGTTTGGTTCACCTATCGCAAGTGTGCCTTTAATAAATGCATGGGCAACTTCACTACCCTCTTTTGTTTCAGTTTGCAATCCTTCTAATACCTAAACAAAGGTTACTTTAATATGAAGTAAATTGTAAACTATGTAAATATAAGTTAGAGGCAAGCGAGCTAAAAAATATAGTTTGTACCTCCACTGTAAAGTGAATTTTTTTCCCTTCAACATATCAATATAAGCTCCAGTCCATTCTATTCTATTCTACCAAACACTGCCTCAAGTGCTAAACCACCTCAAAATTACGAACTTTTGAAAAGTTTGTGGTATGAAAGTTGTGACAATCTATGCAGTTTTAATATACTGCATATTATATTTACACAATGACATTAGTCCCTTGCTTTGCTTCTGGACATTTAATGGAAGTTGTTTTCTCCCATCCAAACACAAGTTTCATATTTCATTGATTATTTGATATTATCAAAAAATAACCATTACTTTCAAAAACTAAGTTGGAAGAAGATGATGACATGCAAATAAAAACACTATTAACATTATGTTCTTTTCCTTTTGGTTTCAATACCTAAATCAATTCTTCTCCAGTTGCACAATAGCTCTTTCTGTACTAATTTTGCATGCTGAACAATTAACGCTAGTACATATCAATCATGACTGTCATGTCATTGTCACATCATATTACAATCTAACCTGATCCAAACACTGATGGCTCATCAAATTAATCAAGTACAAATAGTGTAAATAGTAAGATACATACATTAAAATAAGGTGTGTGTTGATGTGCTGATGTTGCCTTTGTCATCATTATCTAGCTAATTAATGTTACGTATTAATAATTAAAGACATACTATTACTAATAACTAGTTATAGTTAATATATCACACATTATATGTATCACAGCACTACATTGAGGTGACAAAAGGCATGAGATAGCAATATGCAAATATACAGATGGGACTAGTTCTGGGTACAAAAGTTATAAAAGAGCATTACATTGGCAGAGCTGTCATTTGTACTCAAATGACTTGTGTGAAAAAGATTGTAGTCATTATGGCCGCATGGGAAGTAACAGACTTTGAATGTGGAATAGTAGTTGGAGCATGGGACTTTCCATTTCAGAAATCGTTAGGGAATTCAATGTTCTGATATTCAAGAGTGTGCCAAGAATACCTAATTTCAGGCTTGTACTCTCACCACAGACAACACATAGGCCAATGGCTTTCACCCAATGACCAAGTGCAGTGATGTTTGCATATAGAGAGTTGTGAGTGGTACCACACAAGGAACCCTCAAATAACCGCACAAACCAATGTGGGACATGCAACAAACGTATCAGTCAAGACAGTGCAGTGAAATCTGGCTATAATGGGCTATGGTACGAGAAGATCAAATCCAGTGCCTTTGCTAGCGCACGAAATTGCCTGCAACGCCTCTCCATGGCTCATGACCATATCGATTGGATACTAGATGACCGGAAAACTGTGGCTTGATGAGTCCAAATTTCATTTGGTAAGAGGTGGTTGATGGTAGGGTTCAAGAGCGGAACAGACCTCATGAAGCCATGGACCCAAGTTGTCAGCAAGGAACTGTGCAAGCTGGCAGTGGCTCTATAATGGTGTGGACTTTTTTACATGGAATGGATTGGGTCCCCTGGTCAACTGAACCAATCGTTGACTGGAAATGGCTATATTCAGCTACTTGGAGACTATTTGCAGTCATTCATGGATGTCATGTTCCCAAACAATGACACAATTTTTATGGACGACAATGTGCCATGTCACCAGACCACAATTGTTCACAATTGGCTTAAATAACATCCTAGACAATTGAAGCAAATGATTTGGCTCCCCAGATTGCCCAACATGAGACCCATCAAACATGGAACATAGTCAAGAGGTCAGTTCATGCACAAAATCCTGCACCAGCAACACTTTCATGATTATGGCTATAAAAGCAACATTGCTCAATATTTATGTAGGGGACTTCCAATGACTTGTTCAGTCCGTGTCATGTTGAGTTGCTGCACTTCACCAGGCAAAAGGAAGTCTGACATGATTTTAGGAGGTATTCCATGACTTTTGTCACCTCAGGGTGTAAGTCCATAAATGAGGCAAAAAATGGAATATGCTGAATTGTAAAATATTTTCAATACTGCAAAAACAATAATACACTTTGCAAATTATTAAATGACAATTTATGTATTTGTAATTATTTAATATAGAATTATTTAATTTACAATACATAAATTACTCCATTACATGAGAATACGAGAAGTGTTTGATAAGAGATGTGCAGGAGATTGAAATCGGTAATTTTTGCAGATATGCAATTTTTGAAATTTCACGGTCTTAAATAAAAAGCAGACTGATACCATATTTACAGGCACAGTTTTCTCTATTTGAGCAAGAAAATTTAAAGAAAAATATTTGTTCATCCTGGGACTCTAATCGTGGCCTCAGCATAGCAGTCCAATACTTTACAAATATATCATTAAAAAATGAAATATTTACAAATCTATATTGCAATTGTAGTACAGGTTCGAAAAATGTTATTTTTTAGCAATTTTTATGAATTTCAAAGGTTTTAATATTAATCAGATCTATACAATATTTATAAGCACTTTCCTCTATTTGAGCTACCATTTGTAAGTATCTTTCCTCTATTTGAGCAAAAAATAAAATAAAAAATTTGCAACTATTTTTGTGCAAATTGTGAAAATGTCCTATCGACTCTGTATAATGTCCCTTCAAAAAATAAAATATCTATTTCATATTCTATTCAGAAAAACTCAAGATGGACCAGATCCATCAAAAAATATCCACTTTGGGAGAAAAAACTTTTTATTTTAATTTGCTATTTAAATAAATAAACTAATGAATTAATACTAATACTCTTATTTAATTGTTAATGTTATTCTATAATTATCTATTTTTGATAAAATGGGATAACTTTGTTATTCTGAAACAATTTTTGCCTAAGAATTGTGAATATCTATCAAAAATAATAATAATAATAATTATTATTATTATTATTACTGTAATTATTGTAATCAAAATCATTAATAGTTTCATTGTTCAAGCTTAAGATGAGAATAAAAGTATTTTGAAGTGAAGGAAAACTTACCCTTTTACCTTCACCTGTAACTACAGGACATTTCAAATCCGCCTTTGTGACTGTCTTGTATGCCCACCCAGTCATGAAAACATCACGATAAAGAATTCTCTTGCCCAAGTCTTTCTCGCTGGGTCTTCGACAATAATCTAGATGGGTAAAATCGGCTCCTAATAATTCAGGTTGCAATGCTGCCTACAAATAAAATAAACATCATTACTCGAAAACAGATTTTTTTTAAAAATAGACATATAAGAAATAAAATAGTACCTAATAAATTCCAAAGACACTGATTTAAGAATAAAAAGTATGAAAATATAAGCACACATACAAGATAAGTCCAAAAAGTATGCACCTTCCCAATTTCACAAGACTCTTTTGAACCTATGAATTAGCATTTGAAAACACATTACAACACACTGTACAACCAGGAGTGCAGGAGGCTTGAAGTTAAAATGTCTTATCTTTAATCCACAATTTCTGGTAAATTCTGAACCAGGAGAACACAAAATGATCTAATTTAATTTTTGATCTCATTTTTCAGAAAAAATGTCTCGATCATCCATAATTGCTCAAAAAACTATCTTATATACAGCTATAGTTTGATAAAAGCTGAAGTAGAGAACAATATTGATTTTTAACAATGCACTAAAAGAGAATATCATCCAACTTTTTGACCACTACTTTGTTCACAAGTTATATTCATTTAGTTAGGATGATGCAATTATTACTACTTTTATTCGCCACACTTTTAACCAGCAGCTCATTTGTCCTAAAAGTATTAATAATAGGTGTTTTTTTAATAGTCTTTGTTCCAGGTTTCAATTTTCATTACTTCAAGCTTTCTTGAGAAACATGTAGATCAGAAGATACATGGGTTTTTCATAGACCAGTCATGGAAAAATGTTATAATTTTCTATAAATGCATTGAATTACTCACTAAATGATGATTTTGTTGTTCTTTGAATTCATTCATTGCATTCAAACACATTTTTTTTCTGTTTCAATATAAGTTTCTTTTTAAATGTAACAAAAAAAATAATATTAATATATCGATGTTGCATACATAGCCATTTTAGGTAAACTAAAACTTACTAGAAGAATTAGAATTATCCAAATGTGCTAGGAAAGACTAGATTTTAGAGAACATTCTCTACAAAACTACAGAAAGAACATGTGCCTATGATAAATTGTTCTCATTGTAAAGTGGAATTTTTAGAAAAATAGCTATTTTTAAAACATTAGGGCTCATGAGAGAGGTCTTAAAATCATTTACTGAAGATGAAATTTTGACAATCTCATTTTTACACCAATTGATAAATGTTTAGTTTTCTGTCAAAAAAAAATAGACATTTTTACACCAATTGATAAATGTTTAGTTTTCTGTCAAAAAAATATAGACATCAATTTCTTGCAACCAATCTAACATGCATTGTACATTTATTTCCACATGTGCAATATAAAAACGATGGAGACATCAAAAGCTTTTTTTTCAATTCACACCGTAACCACATAATTTTCAGAAATTCTCAGTCATTGAATAATTTATTTTCAGAGTGTCTTATTCTGAAAATTTTCAGATCAGTCTATTTTCTCTGGATACTGTAATAATGGACTTAAGATTCAATGTTCTGCTCAGCAGTGCAAGATAAACCTTATGTGAAGTCCTTGACTATAAACAATACAAGGCACCTTCTTCCCCTTTTTTTAACTCCACTTTAACAACAATTTAAATTATGTCAATGACATATTGACAAAACATTATTAATTATACTTCATTGTATTGAAATTGTGTTAATAAGGAATAAGCACTGTAAAGTACTTTACAAAATTTTGCACACACAAAAGCAGTGATTTCTATCAATTAAAATGTTTAATAGATATCTACAAATTTGCAAAAGGAAGATGCAAGTGAGAAATTATCTTTGAGTTAGTGTCTTCCAAGGCTCACTTTTTTCACATGAAATAACACGATTCACACATACAATTCAAAATGTCTATAAATCAGTTAAAAAAATTATAAATTTTCAAAATAAAAATGTTATTCTGCAAGAAATAATTTAACATACTTTTAGTGAAGTTATTGTTTTTAACAAATCTCTTATGTTCAGGCCCTTGTGAACTTGGGATATTATGTTTTAGTCTACTTAAGCCTCAGCACTACTGGCCAGCCATTGTGGTAGGCATTGGATAGTACACTATGAAGAGTAAGATCTGCTATGATTTCTTCATCTTTTTAACCATAAATGTGTAACCAGTCACTTCTTAGAAATCTGTCATGGTTACAGATATAGTCACAGTTTTGCCCCTATTCTTCTCATCTCATCACAAGTTATCGAGTTTAATTATCAGAGCTGTAAAGCACTATTCGCTGCCATGACTGTACAGTTTTCTCTCCTGGCTTTCATAACAACAAATTCAATACCACGCGGTCTTATAAAAAAAGAAATAGGATAATAAATTACATCAATAAACCCTACAGGAAAAAGAATGAGCAGAATGAAAATGGACTTACAATTACTTGTACGTTCATTTAACGACCTGCAACTTACCAAGCGTCGAATCCGCTGACGTTCTGTTTCCGGAGTGAAATCATTTGACAAGGGAATTGCCACATCATTCCTACACAGGACAGCACGTGAATCTCCAGCATTTGCCACATACACTTTTCCCAAAATGAAAAGTGCAACTAAAGCAGTACAACCTCCTTTCATATCATATTTCTGCCTATCTTCTGCAATTAACTGATCCTGAAAGGTATTCAATTACTGCCAATTAATATACAGATTATTCATAAATTATAAGAAAATTTCAATCTTAGAGATTTGCTTTCAGAAAAGATAGGAACAGGCAAACATGCAAACAATAAGAAAGAAAAGAGAAGGGAGATGCAAATATAGGCAAAATCCTTACCATATCCCAGAACGATGATTCTAATGCTCCAATTATAAGTGATTCTTGGGTTACATCTTTCCCTGGAAACCACATACATGCTCCTCGGCGTGTAGACTTTTCCATTAAATGTTCAGGAACTTCATCCAAAGGAGGGAGAAGATGGTCAATAACATCAATTAGCTTTTCCTGTAAAAAATCGATACATTAATCATACACTTTATTATCAATTGTGTTAAGATTGAAACCTGGCCCAGCCCCAAGCACTTCAGATATATGTGATAACCAGTGATATAGGGAATTTGAGCACACTCACATCACACTGACGTTTATTTTGCTAATGACTACCATTAGTGAATATGAAACATATTTTTCTTATTATATATGACTGACGCCCGGTGTCGTAATGGCATCGTGACGAAATGGCCCGGACGCGCCATCTACTCCGCGGCTTTAAAAGGCGCTGTCCACTGCAATAAGGTCTAGTCGTGACTTAGGCATGCCCCGGCGTCGCACTCGTTCGTCTTTTCAGCAATTGGGCAAGTTTGAGAGGGGGTCCGATTGTCGACGCCCGGTGGTCCTTTCGGCGCATTGCTGACCACGTGGGCCGTGATGCGACGTCACTGCCGTGCTGACGACGATGGGTAGACGAGCATTCCCCTCAGCCGTAGACCTACTTCGGAGCGACCGCGGAGCACTAACCAACGTCAAGATCGACGCATCGTGAGAGCGGCGTAGGCAGATCGTACGGCAACCCGCGCCGTGATGCGGGCGCATGTGGCCCCCAACGTGTCTCCACGCACCGTTGGGGACCGGCAACTTGCTGCGGGATTACAATCACGCATACCGCTAGCACGCCTGCTACTCACGCCGAACCATCGTCGGGCACGTCTGGCTCTGCGGGTCAGCTGAGAGTCGGAATGGCATGCATTGATGTTCAGTGATGAGAGAAGCTTCTGCCTGCATGTCAGTGATGGTCGTGAGCGTGCGCGGCGTCGCGTAGGCGAGCATGTGCGTCCGGAGTGTGTTCGTCCATGTCACGTAGGGAGTGATGGTGAGGGATGCCATCAGCGCGTTCGTCTTTGGTGTTCGTGGAGGGATCATTGACCAACGCTGGATACATCCAGTACGTTGTGCGGCCAGTGCCGATACCTTTCTTGCAACGGGAGGGTGGCGCGCTGTGCCAGCAGGACTATGCCCGCCCTCACACTGCCCGCGCTACGCAACACACTTCGCGATCTTCAACTGCCTTGGCCGGCACGCTCGCCGGATTTGTCCCCGATCGAGCATGTGTGGGACATGATGGGCCAACGTTTGACCCGGGTTGCGACTCCCCCAACAACTCTGCCTGCTCTACATGAGGCGGTGCACGAGGCGTCGAACAGTATACCGCACTTTTCGCCACCTCCTGGGCCTATGGGATCCCCGCCCGCATCAGGGCTTGTACTATCCGCGGCGAGTACACGCAGTATTGATGTGGCGTTTCCGGTCCATGGTGTTCTCTCTTGTAGGATGAGGGATCTCACATGGCTCTGCCCACGAATCGTGTGTAGTATTCTGTCTGTATGTGCTACATCTATACTGAGGAATAAATTGGACAATGCAATCTGAGTGTTGCAATACTTTTTCCGATGAAATTCAAACGAAAAACTCTCCCTTTATAATAGGAGGCAAATTCTTCCAGAATTAATCAAGTATTTCTATACAATTCCAGTACTAGAGTTAATTTCTTCAATTCAGATGTAGTTTACGAATCAGGAACAAGAACACACCATTGTTCTTGTTCCTGATTCAAGACACCATGCCCACTTCCAGTGCTACTATAAACTAAACATTATAGATGTATTGCTCATTGATAGCCGAGACCACACGTCCGCATTTAGTAACCATCAACACTATTCCTCAGAGTGAAATACCACCAAGAATAGGATATAAATAACAAAGGTGTGGGAATTTTAATCCTAGATTACTAGGTTTACAACTAAGCTACACTGGCATTCCAAAATTTATTTTTGCAATGAAACCTGACTTACACATCCAGCAAAAATTGGCCATTAAAAACGTGACCAAGGTTAGAAAATGTGACCAAGTAATCAAGTTATGAGTTTATGGGAAGCGAAGATCAAGTCTAATCGTGGTAATTGCTTTAAAATAAAGTATGTTTTTGGTAAAATAATTTTAATTATCTTAAATTTCAAAATGCAACTTAAATAGCAATTACACTTGAATTACAAGATGTTGGCAAATCTGCAATCGGATGGATTTTACTTGGTTTTTACAAAAATATGCCTTGTTTGTCTCATTAGAAAAGTGTACATCTCTCTTTACATGCTTAGGTTTCACAACTTCACAAAAATGAGCTCCTTTTATTTATAATGCTGTTAAAAATGTGTCCTGCTGTCCTGTCGCACGTAAAAATGTCAGTATGTTCTTTGGTGTAAACTTTCTTCGATGTTCAGGACAACATGCTTTCTCTTTGCTAGTGTCAAACATGCAAGACATCATGAATCACATTTCTATTAACACCAAGCCAAACTATGACTTCAAAATGAAATTTTCCTTCTGTAGGAGGAAGAAGGCTGCAAAGATTCAAAAGACTATCAGACTGGTTATACATCGAATCAGTGTACTTCGCCTGCCATTCGCAAGTCCCCACAGAGGGAAGGAGGAGTTAGCAATCTCCATGAAAAAGCTCGGGTAAAAAAAAGTGAAACAAACGTATTATTATTTCATTGACATTTCATGAAAAATCATCCATTTTTGCTCTTATCAGAAGAGAGACTCTAGAGGTCACTGTTCTCAGTAATCTGGCAATGAGTCCTGTTGCAGGAAAACACTGAATCAACCGCTCTTCTGCTTTTATTCTATTACATTTCAAAATCGCTGGATTGACCACTGAATAGATGTGCACTGAATGTACCTGATACAGTGGTAGGCAACTGCTCAAATGAGTTTTTACACATGTCCTATGGAAAAAAATCCACCGACACCTCAATAAAATGGCCATTTACGAATGAGTACTCAATTGACGTGACCATTGAGCAGGTTTCGCTGACCAAATGGGGTGCAAACCAATGCAGAAAGTCACCACCGGTACTCTAGTCCTAATTCTTACATTTGAGCAGCATTTACCTACAAGACTTATTGCTATAATTTAGATTAATAATTTAACAGACATAAGCTATGATTCTCAAACTGAAGAACATATTCAATTGCTTTGCCAGTAGATCAAGAATAAATAAAACAGTGCCTTTTCCATTGATGGAAAAGTTTTTGTTTTACCACAGTAACTTCTTTAACGTTAAAAGAAGATTGATGATATTCACCCAACAAAATCTTTAAATTACATTCAATAAAGAACCTCTAGCAATAGAATCAATTTGCAATACTCCAAAAATCATATTGGCATAAACATATGACATATTGGATAAAAACAAAATGTTGACTAAGGAAGTTACCTGAAGTATATGATGTAACTGATTAGCAGCTGCAACAGCTGCACCTACACCAGCATGGCCATCAAACATCGCAAAATACACATATGGTAAGCAAGTTGCAGCATTCAAATGATCAGGAATTAACGATCCTATGTCTTGAGTAACAGTAGGAGTTGTGCATCGTCCTCGACCTTCAGGACGTTGAAGAAATCCTTTCTGTATGCAAGCTTGGTCCTCGTTCCATCTTGATTTTCCTGCATTGACTGCCCTGAAACGTGAAATAAATTAAGTTAATGTACAAAGCGACACAAACATCATAAAATAAATTGTCTTCATAAAGTGAAATTCATATGTGAATTAATTTTCACAAGTCTCATAAGAATACGATTTTAATTAATCAATGATCTATTTGATTTTACAGTATATATTTTTGATGCAAACTAAATTGATAACTCAAAATTACAAAAGTACAATAGTTTTGAGAAGTAATATATTGCTGATATAGATGGTAATACTTTAAGTAAGGAACCTCTAAAATATGTTTCTTGGGAAGAAAGCTCATTTAGTGAAAAATGACCTACCCGTTAACGTTGATTTTTTGAAATAATACTACAATTGGAAATGTGTATTTTTACCTAAGCATACTATATTAATTCACTAAATATCCAATGCCTTTCATTTTAAATTAAAAATAATTGTGATAGATAATTATTAAAAGAATAAAAAAGTTACATTTTATATTAGGTATACGATGAATTAAGACCATTGTATTATTAATTAAGGAAGTGTTACTTCTAGTAAAATTCACAATGAAAATTGTTAAATAAGAGGTTCCTTTAAAAGTTATTTTTGACATGAAAAACCTTATTCTTGCATTGGCCCCTTTTGAAAGAACTGTTTTCTTTCCTGACCCAAACATTTTTCACTACAATATACAACATACAACTCAATCATAACACAAACAATTGTACAATAGCAACCTACAAATAACAGATACACTTTCTTGGGGGGGTCAACTTTGCTCAAAAATTTCCTAAACTTGTGGTTCTAAGAGGAAATATTTTGTGGATTGCGGACAAAACGGATCTTTAAATTTCTTATAATCAATCTCAATCTTATGCTTCATTTGTTAGTTTCCATTAATGTTATATTTCTCTCTGCTGTTATGGTCATAACATTAAAATTGATGCAAGGCTTTACATAATCTAAAACATTTCATTATAATAGGTAGAAAACTGTTCCATATTCTGATTAAGTATTAATTATTAACTCGGATAAGTTTCAGTATTAAAATAAATATTTCCAACTGAGAAATAAGTCATTATTTATTTTTTCCGCAAAGAAAATAACAAGCCATCTCCCAGACCATCTTCACTTATAAACATTATCATTGATATAACATAATTAAGTTCTTATATTTAATTCTGCCTGTCTCAAATGTTTAAGAAAATGTTCCAGAAAATTTAAGGCCAAATTTGCATCATTCTTTGGAAATCTTGGATTTAAAAAAAAAGCCACAGTTAAACCACAAACTTTGTGGTTTGTGACTATTTCTGACACAATGCCTCATATTTATAATTTTCTTGGTTTTCAAAACAAGAATACAAATGGAGGAGAGAATTTTTAATTTATTGTTAAATATTTTGCAGCTGTATATCAGAAAACAAATATTAACTTCATTAGTATTTTCTGTAATCAACAGCATTTTGAACTTTATAACACCCATCAGTCACGAGTTTGTATTTGTCTATTGACCCTAAAGTCAACCCCTTAATATTCATCGATTCTCTTTAAAATTTCATTAACATCAACCATACTGGAGCTCCTGCAATATAAATTTTACCATTTTTAAATTAAAGGAAACTCTAATGACATTCAATTCTTGCATTTTTGATACGAGATAAATATCAAAGCAAAGTAATCACTGAAATAACGTACGTTCTTGAAGGTTACATATACTGTTGTTGATATTTTATCAACCGTTAGCCATTTTCACAGCCAATGGCTATTGAATAAATAAATTTTAAACATTATATGCATTTAGTAAATTAATTATTTATTTTATCCAAATTATCATTACACACAATTACACACAATATGAGTCAACGCCATTCAGCAAGCACCTACACACAAACACCTACAACAGTAATATGGTTACCAAATTTTGAACACAGTATTGGATAGTAACATTTTTAACAGCCTTTTCCACATCTTTTTCACACTCTTCTATTAACTTTCTGAACATATAGTTACATCATCTTCATCTTCATCCATTATCACCTGGTCATCTGCAAGTAGACTAAACAATGTTTCATCACCTATTTTCAAATCCATACTTCTGCATTTTCTTTTCCATTCTTTTAGGGCTTTATCAATGTTGGGAATATACAGCAGCCTTGCTGTAATCCTTTATTTACTCGGAAGTTGCCTGATAGACATTTTCCCACTTTTACTTGACTTTTGTTATCTTTATTAAGTTGTTTGACTGCATTTATGTATGTTGTTGATATTCCTTTTTTTTCCATTGTCCCCATACTTCTTTTACAGGCACATTATCATAAGCCTTTTTGAGATCAATGAAAATTATGTGAAGTTTTCTTCCTCTCCCAATTGTTTTTTCCATCAGTTGTTTGAGACAAAAAATATTATCAACACAGGATCTTCCTGGCCTAAAACCACTTTGCATTGCAGAGTATGACGTTTGCATTCTTTAGCACATGTCCATACAATCTAACCAAAGATGAAGTCACACTTATCCCTTTACAATTATTACAATATTTTTTTTACAGACTTTTTTGTAAATTGAATTTATATAGGATAATTTCCATAATTCAAGCATTTTACCTCCTTTTAAAATGTCCTTGAATAATTCAGTAATTAATTCCAAACCTACAATAGGATAATGTTTAACCAGCTCTATGGATATACCTCCACGCCCAGGTGCTTTATTATTTTTCATGTTTCTTAACACTTCTCTTACCTCTTCCAAAGTCATATCTAGTGTGATTGAATTTACATGCAGTGGATCATAATCTATTCCCTGAAATTTAGATACATTTTCTGTCAAAAGATTTTCGTAGTATTTTTGCCATTTTTCAATACCAATTGGATGTACTAAATGTCATTCTTGGGTTGTATTCAATTTCATGGAATGTAACATTTTCCATGCCTCTCTGGATTTGGTGTTACCAATGCACTTGTCTAATCTGTAACATTTTTTGCCTCCACTTTTTTCTTAACCAAATGTTTCATTTTGTTATATTCACTTATGTCTTCTAAATCCTTTGTTGAAAGCCATCTCAAACATAACTTTTTCTCTTCTTCAATCAGGTCTTTTATATCTTCTGTCCACCACAAGTCCTTGTTTATATTCACATTTTCCCTTATCTCCCAGTTTCTTTAGCTGCTTCACAAGTGCATTTTTCTAAAAATGGGTATTTGTCTTCAGTATTTCCTATTGGGATGTACTTTAATTTTTCTGTCATGCACAATCGGTATAAAAATGCAATGGAATCATCTTGAAGGCTTTCAATATTGTATCTCCACCACATTTCACTCAATACTTTTCCACCTTTTGTACTTGGCTTTGTGTTTCCATAAGTTTTGAAGTAATGTTTATATTCAGGTAAGCTATTCCTTTTAGTAAGTAGTGATCCACAAGACGCACCTCTTAGAACCAGAACATAACTCCACTTTATTGATGACTGTTTAGTCAATTATTGATTGCAGTTTTCTAGTGGGCTGTGTTTACATGAATTTATGTATTTTTTATGTGGAAAATAGCTATTCAATATTTTAAGATCATACAGTTCACATGTCTCTATAAGTCTTCCTCCATTGTCATTTAATACATTTTCACCATATCGTGCCATAACATTATGCGCTATTCATTTTCCAACTCTTCTGTTAAAATCACCTAGAAGCACCACTTCTTTGCGCTTTCCTATAGAATCTAGAAGTATAGTCAGTTCCTCTGATAACATATTTTTCTTCAACACGTGCATTGTTTACTGGAGCATAAATTCCTATAATAACAAGATTGCATCCTCTTAGTACAAGAGACATGCTATTCCCTCATCGCTTGCTTCCCGGCTATGAATATTTTTCTCCAATCGTATGTACAGCTATGGACATTCCTGCTCTTGCTCCCTTTTCTTAATACAAGGTAATGAAAGTCTTAAAAAATTACTGATCAAAAACAGGCATTAGTAGATTATTATTTTAAAAAAAAAATACATTTAGAGGCAAAGTAAAATTTAACGAGATCACTAGTCCCAATTCACATATGCAAGCAGCCAACAAACACTAGACGATTCAGTTACATAGTAAATACACCTCCCTACCGCACATTCATTTAACACTCAAGGTTTTGCAAGTAGAGGGTCTCTTGGGTTATTTTTGTACAATAGATGGTAAATGAAAGGGTCTGAGGGTACCATGCCATCAAGGGAATTGCTTCAGCTCATCAATAGCACTTTTGTCCAGCTGAAGATTTTATTGTTAAGGACCACAAGGCACTGAAATTCAATCTAGTTAGGACATCATGAATGGGGTGAAAGGGCCTTCTACAAAGGAAGAAAACAAATGTGATGAAAAGAGGATACAAATGAGAAGAAAGGCTCCATTAGCATGTGTAAATGTAGAGAGGCATTGAAGGGCATTATAGATTGCACTAAGACATTTTGAGTGAACAATGTAGAATTGGATGTATAGAAAGCATTACGGTATTGAAATTTTGAATTTCCAGCCACTGGATATTTCACTGTGCCTCTGATATAATAAAATCAATAACAGTTGAAAAACTGCATTATATTTAGGAATTATCAGCTACAGTGAACCTCTGATATAGCAAACCAAAAATGTAGGATCCCTGAGGTTCACTACAACTGGATCTAAATTTTTAAATAACTTCAAATTAATGGCAAATTTACAGAACAGAGAAATTAATAATGCAAAATGCACAATGTCTATGTTTAAACTTGTAGCAATTATTTTGCCTGAAGATTTCTCTTGGAGATATGTTTATATAATACTGAATTTTACAAGTGACCTATAATGGTATTGTCACATTCATACATTCATACTGATAGTTCATATCAGTACTAAATACAAAGTGAAATAGAGGACTGTTAAAAATGAGTAATTTTAGAGTTGTTAAACAAAGGGAGAGTCTTAAATTCTGGTTTGAATGAACCTTGGAATTGAAAAATAAACTCAATTTACCTCCACTTAGTATTATGTTTTCCATTCTGAATATTAATGTTCAATCCTGTTATTAAGAATAATACTTATTTAAGTAAAAAAAAGAAAATTATTTGATATACTGGGGAGAAGTACTTGAAGGAATGTTGTTCTAGTATTACTTTTCTGAATTACATTAAAGTTACAATACCCTTGTAATTTTGTTTTATTTGCTGTAAAAATAAACAGTAAAAGGAACCTCCAGTAATGATATAAAAGAGTAGAACAGGGTCGCAATTAGTGAAGTATTATGTTAAAGAGAGATTATTTAGAAGAGAATATTTATGTAATAAATTTGAAAGTAAATTTAACACACATTCAGTTTAAAGTGTGTTCAGATAATAGGATTTCTTTATGGTTTGCATTTTTGTCAATGTCAAATACAAAACGCTAAAAGCCATCTCTTCTATTCTTATGAAATATTCTCAGAAAAGAATTTCAATGAACTCCCCCCCTCTCCCCGAAAGAGCATTGATTAATATTCAACTACTTGCCATTTGTAGAAGCACTGACAAATATGTAAAAGAAGCACTAAACATTTCAATTTTAATTCACTTTTACAAAATAAGAAACAGCGATACAACACAGATTAGCAGTAATCAACTAGTATTACTATTTCCTCAAAACACAATTAACAATTTCCCAATCTCTTTAGGTTGTATGTTCATGAATGGTTCAGTTTCTCCATTATTAGATTAAATTATTTATTTACCCACTGTTCATAACATACTGTCGTTTCTCTGGAATTCTGTAGTAACTAGGGTTGCCATACATCCTGAAAAAGCAAGATATGTCCTGAATATCAACATGTCTCACTGTTCCATCAAATTTTTCTTTATTTCTGCTAACTCCTGAATTTTTATACTCTGATATAATTCCGCACAGTCCTACAAAAAGACTGTGCTTCGGGAGACTTGTGAACTATGTACTACACAAGAGAACACAAGTGGTTATTTCTTTTGTAATGCAAATATTGTTATTTTGTCTTTTTACAGTGCAATCTGAAAACTGGAAAACAGATAAAGAAAAGTACCGTGCAATTTTAATCGAAGTGCATCCATCTCTCTTACAATGTGTGGGTGCAAGAGAATCTGGAATGCAAATGGCAAAAAAAGGCCAGTCAATAACAGTTTTAATATCAACCAAAGTCATGATTTATTTAATATTTTATTTAAATGCACTGAAATTCTTCACATCTTTTGTCATGGAAATATAAGGAAATGACCTAGATAACCTGAGTCAGAGAAATTCGATCTAAAAAAAGCGATCAATACTGTTATTCTTGAAAGTGTGCAACGTAATTTATCTTCATCTACTATTTAGATGTTTACTTCATATACTATTTCCTTATTATATTATTTACTTTTTTATATACTATTTAGATAAATAAAATTAACAATTAGCTCTGAAATACTTTTGGTTGTCCTGAATTCCATTGTTTTCCTTTTGGCAACCCTAGTTGAAATTCAAAAAGAAAAAGAAGCAAAGACCGAAATTTTAAGGCGAATCAGTACACAAAAATAATTTTCATACAGAGTAAGTCATTACCACTGATACTATTCCAATTCCCACTGGGTGGCAGTTATATCGTATTTCGAGGATGGAGATTTTCATTAAATAACATAGTCCAAAAAAAACGATCTCACGAAAATCCATTTTAATAAATTAAGAAACCAAGAGACCTAAAAATTTTTTGATATAACTTGTAAAACAATATTACATATTGTTTATTGTTGACGAGCAAATTAAGTTGTGAGAAAAATAAACTGTCCTCTCTTGGATAAAATAGTTTTTCCTGTTACAACAGATTATATCAGAAACGTAACCATATACATCTTTTCGTAAATATTACTTCAAAGTAAATGAATTCAGTTAAAATTAATCAAAATCCTGATATTTTAAATTAAAACTAATTCCTGGAAGTGTTTACAAATATGGCTGTTTTATTTTTAGAGGTTTTGGGGTCAATAATTGTCTTCACAGGGTAATTTAACATTATCAAAAAATATCATAGCAAAAACATTTTATATCATACAAAAATGCTCAAATGAACAATCTTTGGATGGTGAAATAATGTCAATAATGTCTAATAAATTCACATGTAAATAAGTTATATTATATATATATATATATANTATATATATATAAAAATAATCTGAAGTAAATAAAAGCCATCGGTCCTAGTTACTTCATTATTTGCAGTTGACAGGTCATTCAATCCCATGAACAACAAATTATGCGTAATCTTTACCAAAGCACTTCACAAAATAAAAGTTGAATTTCACAATCACTTCACATTAGGAACACATGCGATCCCCATTACTTATTATGAATAATAACACTCACTCTGCGTAACCACTGTTCCATGGTATTTTGGTGATGTCCCGGGGCACAATAATGGGACGAATATTGTGACATGCAGACCATTGAATTTCTTCATCGGAATGAAATTGTAAGAAGTGTGGTCTTGTGTACGGAAATTTCGGTTTTAATGTCGACGAATCTTCGGCCGAACTTTCAACAGCTTTTAAATCTGGCAGCGGATCTATTCCGCCAACAACGTTATACAGTACATTTCTAAATTTGTTGAACATAATCACAACTGTCAAGACGCCTGTTTGTCACAAAACTTTCAAAAATGCAAAGAAACAGATGACAAATTTGCAACTCTGAAACATTTATTTACGATTTCCCACAATTCCGTATCATCACGTCCAAGAGCTCGTTGACAGCTGAAATAAATAATTTTACTAGGCAACAGTTCTGTCAGCGTCAACTGTCTGACACGCGTCACAGTCTTAGAACAATAACAAGTTACCATTTGTATCGTTTCGTTTTATCAGTTTCTCTTGGATCCAACACAGATGTCAGAATTTACACCGGACCACTATGTTATATTAACGCTATCTGTTGTACCAACTGAAAACTAATAGACAAACGTATGACGTGGCGCGCTTATGAGAAGAAACGTGCCACCAATGACAAAAGGAAATAATGCTCCAGCAAACACACAGAAAGATTTAAATGTTTGCAAAATATAAGAAATTTAACAACAACAACAACAACAATAATAATAATAATAATAATAATAATAATAATAATAATAATAATAATAATAATAATAAAATGGTAACAAAAACTGTCAAAGGCGTAAATTACTATAAGCTATTTATTTATTATACCGGAGATCCGAATCACCATGTATATGTACACTGAATTATCAGATTATAAAACTAACTTGAATGCCTATATTTTTATAAGAATACCCATATAAAATAAATCATGCATTTAACATGGTTGCCATTCCCGAAGGAAACAGAGATAAAAGAAATTTGAACTATGTTAAATTAAATTGCACAAACAGTTTATTTTATCATTGTTCAGGGCCAGGATTTCTTGAAAGACCTTTTTAAGAAAAAAGAGGGCTTGACACGATGTGTTTAAGTCTGTCCGTGAGTGTGGGAAATCGTAAACACGGTCAGCGTCAGTGGTAAATCCTGAGGAGGCCAGCGTTTGAATTGTAATTTCAATCCAGCACTTTTTTAAATGGTATTATTTCAAAAAAAATATAAGAGCGGATCCAAAGTCAAATGCGCCCGCTGAAAAACTTTCTGCATCCGCTTCTGAACAGCGCTGGTAAAACACAACTGCTGCAACGAACAACTGTTCGAAGGAGATTAAAATTGCATCATTCAATTCTCGGTAAATAAAATTATCTTTGACTCGATTTTACATCTAGAAATTGGAATACCGTTCTTAAATTATTGTCGTTTTTGTAGTTTTCTTCTAGGTTTCTTGTTTATTTGCTTTTCATTTTAAAAGTTACGTGTGATTATAATACTGAATGGGTGAAAACCAGAACGGTATGAGTGACATTTTGTAAATCTCAGAAAAATGTTTATTTAATTAAATATTACTATAATGTCGTGATGCTTTGTTTCATCATTAAGACCACGGCGTTTGAATTGTTCATTAAAACCACGAAATTATATTGCAACTGAAATATAGCCTAAAATAAAAACGTTTTCCCCAGAATTTATAAAATGTCACTTGTACCGCTCTGTTTTCCACCCATTCATATAATAGTCGTAATTACGAGTAGGTGTTGACTGCATTATAACATACACATTTAGTGGTAGTGCTACAAAAACACATTCTTCAAGTGTTACTTGCATTGGTGGTGCATTATTATAATGCTGCAACGTCTAACCCACTAAGAGCCATCACTTGGAAAATTTCGACCGAGTTAGCTCAGAACCAGCATTATTGTTATTTCTACAGCGACTCTGGCTAGGACGTCCTAGGGTTCGAGTCTCTGCGGAAGTGAATTTTCGACCCTTGCTTGGTAACTAGGTCGAATGCAAACGCTGACTGGAGAAGAATTATTGCGACAAGCTGTTCTGATGAGTAGTTTTCAGTGATTTTTCCAATCTATACCCGGCGAATCCTGGAACAGTACTCTTACAAACGGGCCACGAACCGCGTGCTCTTTTTCCTTTTCTTTCCTTTCCTTGTTCCTTGTTCCTTCTCCTGTACACACATATGCACTACTAAATCAGACGACCCGTCAGGGGATTAGAACTTTTTCGGGGTGGGGCGGTGCTCCGCTGGGTTAGATATGCCAATAGAGAGATTACTAAAAGAAGGGACTGCTTTGACAGCTATTGCTTGGCCACTACTGGAATTATAACTACAAATTACGACCTTGCAATCATTTTGTCGGTGCGTTCTTTTACAGTTAGCTCATTTGTAAATAGCTTCATCACTTTCTTTTGCAATGTCATCGCCCTGCATGACGTTCTTTTTCTTTTCTGACCTGTCAAGGACGTTGACGTGTATTAAATAAATAAATAAATAAATAAATAAATAAATAAATAAATAAATAAATAAATAAATAAATAAATAATACTGCTGAGCGCAATCAGAAAAGTTTTTGGACAGCACGTGCAGTGAACAAGAACAGCGAATAAAATACACTTGAATAACTCTGCAATAAATCAGAGTGTTTTAACACAAAAGTGTTAAAGCAGACTTTCTACGATCACACTGTACAGAAATTGCCGTTTTCAGGCGCACGATTACAATAATCATTGTTCTTAAGAAGTAAGGGCGAGTAAGTAACAATTGTTTACATTCCAAGGAACATAAAAAAAGTTGTTGTTCCATGAGGCAACGTTGAATGCCAAATATTTAATGACGAGCGGCCTGTTTCTTGGGGTGTTGTCGCATGATGTCAGTTGTGTCGTAAGCAGTGACGCACTAAGTCAGAGAATTCAGTCAGTACGCGAAGCATGATAATAGGTGGACTATCAAATCAAATATTTGCACGTTCCTGACAACATTGGAACTGTTTCATTGTTCTTTGATGTTTTTCTTCTTCTTTCCGACGTCCTGGGTATCTAACAAAACTGTAGATCACTCTCACATGGCCGGAGACTGGACAGTTTTCTTTCATTTTCTGAGCACATTGGAAACTAGTACAATAGATACTATTTTCCCACTAAATAATCCTGTTTTGTACAAGGCCAATAATTAAGTCAATGGTTTTGTACAAGTACAATAGATAACTTTATGCTTTGAGAAATGTGGTACATCTGTGTACTATTTGAACTTAATTTTTCTCGAGTTTTCATCTGATAATTACGAAACTGAATAAGGAAGCTAACAGTTTTGGGAGCACTCACTAACACGTGAGTGTTTATTTAAAGATACTGGTCGATAAAATGAAATACTCTGAACCCTGATCAATAGTAATATGAGAATTCGACGTAGGACACTGTTTTCTCTGAAACAAAATCCCAATAGCATTTTACACACAAAGTTGTTTCACAATGTTCTACAACGAACAACAAGTGATGAAATGGGTCGGGGACTCGAAGATCCTCGAACGAGAGGTATTGCGATGCACTTGCAAGCAGGGACGCATAGGCGCAGGAGGCACGTGCCTACGGCAGCAAAATTTTAGGGGCGGCAAAAATTGGGCAGTAACATTGTGTCAAAAGGGCAAATGGCATGCGGTTTTTCTTTCTTTCTTTTTTTTTAATTTCTGTTCTCTGAATTCTTGAACAAAAGGATGAAATATCTGAAAATTAATTTATTATCGGGCTGATAATACCTTCTGCTGTATGACTTGTGATAAGACAAAACGAGCGATGTTTACATTTTCAGAAGCCATAGATTTAAGATTCAATTACAATTACCGAAAAGTGGTTTACATCTATATAAGTTATTCATATTAGAAATTTTTGAAATTATACACACACGCACACACACACATTTTTTATAATCTGTAATAACCTATCCTATTTCGTTCAATATTTCTAGTATTAAATGTAGACATTTACGTATTTTTAAGAATTGAAGGTAGAGCACCGTTAGAATAATAAATATAGATGACTACAAGAAGCATAATAAATTAAAATTATTTCATTCATCAAAATATATGATTTAAACAATAATTAATTTCTCGTAGAAAAATATTGATCAGGCATAAATTTTTAATTAAATTATATTTAATTTCAGTCGTAAATACGTGTCCAATTTTTGAACATAAATTATAATTGTAATTTTATATAACTTTTTTCCTCGACACAAAATAACGCGAAAAATACTCAAATTATCGAGAAATTGTACCTGACCTTATTTCAAAATCTATCTTTAAGAAACAGAATCCATTAAGAAAAAAATCTACATCTTTAATATTTTAGTTGTAGGAAGACTCCGAAAATGTTTTGAACTTTTGCATTTTTCGAAAATCAATGTTTACAACGAACATGAGACCTGCACTATTCTCTTAAACTTGCTTTATACTCCAACACCAAAATTTAATTAAAAACTATGGACTTTTTATTTATTTTTGAAATTTTTGAAAATATCCCCCGGGCTTCACGTAAAGTTGTATATTTAATTATTAACCAGCATTAAAATATCGGTTTCTAATTCAAGGAGTCGAGACGTCTGCTAGGTCGTTTGGAAAATACCTATTTTGGCGAAAATGGATGAACGGTTTAGCCGTTAGGGTTGTTCACAGACGGTCGGACAAACGTTTTGCCATCATTCGATTTTTCTGTACCAAGGAGTCACAAAACATTGATTCTTGCTACACCACGTGATAGAGGATATTTTTTCTAAATTTAACAACTGGATTTATCCAGTTTTGCATTACCAGGGCTCTGTAATAAGAGTTTTCTGCAGAAAAATCGCCGTTTTTGCCGCCGGATTGCATAACTTCCTCTCAACTCCGTAGGGAAATATGCAATCAGACCACCCCATGAAGAATAAGTGGGTTGCTAATGGATCGAAGAGCGACTCAGACATTAGATGCACAATTATGTTTTCAAAAGACAGTCCACCGTATAAGTTGTACTCGCACACTTAGTTTCTTTAACTATTTATTTTCTTATTATTTCATTTCTCTAACGAGATGTTGAAACCGTCTACAGAAATTGTATGATAACTATAATGCCATGCTTTCTTTAAAAAATACCCCCAAGATTAATTTTCTTTAAACACTCACACAATGCTTCAGCGACGCATAATTTCAATCGAATCTCATGAATTGAAAGAAAAGCATTCTAATAAAAAGTCAGTGCAAGTCAAGACGAAGCTATCAACCCCCTAATTCTAAGAGCTTTTTATTGAAAACCGTTGTCGACGATGCTCTCGCCTGATGTAAGATAGCAAGCTTCAAAACTAAACAACAATCGAAAGTCAGTTTGTGTGTTGTTTTTATTGTGAACAATGGTAAAATGCTTATAACCAATAGTGGAAAAAACTGCCTTTATTATTTATTTTTATGAAATTAAGACTTATCAAACCTAAATGAATAGCTTTCCTTTTTTTGCTTTAGAAACGGTTACATAAGTTACAGAGGCGGAAAACAATAATTCTTCTGAAAGATGAGGTTTTAATTTTTTATTGACTCAACTATTGCAAAGTATCAGAGAAAGTATCGAGAAATTAATGTTTTCTTACCACTGCAAAACCTTCAGCCTAAAAATAGGTCCTGTTTTAACTCGGCCCGCCCGCATTCCGGACCTTGCGGCCGGACCCGAACATTACGCAACTGTGCTGTAGATAATGCTTCCCGTTGTTCTCTTGCCCTATTCACATCAGAACCAAATATTTTTTATATACAAGTTGTAAGCCAATTTCTTACATGTCTCCGCAAATTAACCAAAAATACTAATCGTACTTAATTTTCTGCAGAAATAACTTCACATTTTGATCAATTTCCTTCACGTCTATTGCATTTGTATCGAAATGTTACATTGTCACAATTGTCGAAAATATTGTGAAGGTTATTTTGATGATTGGAATAGTGTATAGTTTTTAACGCCATTAGGCCGATAATCAGCAAATAACAGTCATGGTTGAAGTTTGTAAATCGAGGCGATAACCAAGCATGTTATTTGTGATAGCCTTGTGTAGTTCAGTACTTTTCGTAATACCATCTTCCTATAAGAAAAAAATAATATAAATAAGAAACACCTTTGATTTTAATACGTAGAAGTGCAATTCTATCTTCCATTTCAAATTGATACAATTGTTGCTTAGTCGCGACAGTTGCAAGAAGGCCAACCATAAGAACATATTCGAATTTTTTACTGGAAGAAAATGGCTACTTAAAAAGATTTTTAGGGCATGTGGACGAGACGAACTCGGATGCGGAAGTCGGATGCGGAAGTGCCCAACCATCTCTTTCCAACATGGATATTCCAATTGAGTTTGGTACATAATCGATGTAATGCTTACAAGATTTTGAGTTCATATATCGTGATTTAATATGTGTTTAAATATCGATAAGACGTTTTTTCCAGGCGCATTTTGGCGCGAATTTCAAATTTTTAAACTTCTAAATTGTTTTAATTTTTTTCACTACCCTTTTAAAATTCTTACAACAATGTATGTTATAGAATGTTATAAGACACATTCCAGAGGAGAAAACTGAGACAGTACTCCAACGTTATCACACCGAAAATTAATTTCAAAAATTCATTATTTTTTTCTTTTTGAATTTGGCGTCAAAATTGGTTGCCAAAAATACTTTGAAATTCTACTGTGTTTCCCCGTTCCTACAATTGGATTTAGCCTGATAGATGCTATAGAAGTCTAGAAAAAATAAAACACGAAAAATACGTTTTTCGTTGTATCTCTGCAACAAATTGCTCTGGGAGGCTGATTTTTTTTACGAATCTACGACAGTTTTTACTATTTTTTCATACGAGCATCACGATTATTGATTTGATTTGGGGGCATGTTTCACCCCCTTCTTTTTCTAACTCTGAATCAGCTTGACAATCTGATGGTCATGTGAAATCAAGATTGTAAATAAAGACTGTTTCCTTTCATATAAGGTAAGGAAACAATTTTTTAAAATCTTGATTGCACATGATCCTTGGATTTTTTACACACTCTGCCTATCAGAAAGATTATTTTTCAGCTTCACCACTGAAAATTATTGTTAGTGGTACAGTAATTTTTTGTATGATGACTACAAATTTACTTGTGCGCTTTCGTTGCAATGTCCCAGTATCTGTTGTTGTGTGACAATGAGAAAGCCCACTTCTCTGTGCTAACCACACGTACGCATTATCCCATGGCCGCTACTAGGCCTTGGCTCATGAAGAGCTTTTGTGCCAAAGCACATACATACTGCATTCCAAAAATACTAACATCAACCGTTTAGGAATACATTCACAGCCCTGATATTGATTTGCAAATGGCACAGAATTCAGTCGATGGAGCTTAAGAAAAATTGAAGACTATAATGATCACTATAATGATCACTATAATGATTTGAAAACTGATGCAATTGAATTTTCCAGTCTACAAAGTAGAAGTGAAATTTACCGATAAACGAGAGAAGAAAACTAAACACGTTGGGAACTTTTCTAGAACCCACGACTCACTGATGGCCAACAAAAATACAAACTTAATATTTACTTTGGATACTGCTATTACATTGGATATTGCCATTATAACCAGTTGGAGCGACCATTTGTTGGATTAAAAAGTACGGTGGCAATTTTAAAAGGGATTCAGCTACAAGTTTTAGATTTAATATATGGCTTGTCAAATATTACGAAAAACTTATCTCAGTTATTGTCTTTTCACATTTGTTTGAAGGGTCAAATTTCAAAACTAAGATCTGTTAAAGATCTGGAAAACGTATTAATAAATGGACACTGCTCATTATTAACAAATTGTCCAGATGTGTGTACAATATTGAAGTTATTTTTGACACTTCCTCTCACGCTCGTCAGAGCCAAAAGAACGTTTTCAAAATTAAAGCTGGTTAAGAATTATTTACGAAGTACAAAGGCCCAAGACTTCCTGAATAATTTAAGTATTTTTTTCAACTGAGCATGAAAAAAACTATTTGGTTGAAAAATAATATTTTTACTGTTGCTGATACATGCGAAGATAAGATCAAAATTTAGATTTTAAATTATGTCATGAAATTGCAAAAATGATAATTTTTCTCTAATAGTTTATTATAATAAAAGTGATCACTCATAAAATTTATTTTATAATCACAAAATTAAATTAATGAATGCCTTGAATTAGGGAGCCACCGTATTATGACCGCCAAAGGGCTTCTCTGCTGAACTTAGGACACTGAAGAGGGTTGATGCTTGACCCCTAATTACACAAAAAATACTCATTTTTTCGAAAAATTCAACATGAACTTATTTAAAGATCAATTTTTTATAAACACACTTCATTAAGAGAAAAAATGTTTCTTCACCATTGTAGTTGTGGGAAGACGTAGACATATTTTTCAATTTTTTTCTTTTCAGTTTTCGAAAAATCAAGCATTTCAACGAACATAAGACCTACACCATTCTCTTAAAAGTCCTTTCCGCTATCTAAGGTCCAATTTTAATGAATTTTGTTTGCCATTTTTTAGAAAAATTAGTTTAAAGAAAATTAAATTGGCCTATTTGACACAAAAAATTGCACAAAATACTCCTTTGTTCGTAAACTTAAATTTCACATGATTTGAAGATCTGTTTTTGAAGAACACATTTCGTTAAGAAAAAAATTATCTTCATAATTGAAGTTGCAAGAAGACGCCGAAAAAATGTTGAACTTTTGCAATATTCGAAAAACAGGAATTTCAGGGAACATGAGACCTACACCATTCTCTTAAACGTCCTTCACACTATTCAACAACAAAATTTACTCAAAAACGTTGGAGTGCTTTTTTCTTTTCTAAATTTTGAAGCTTTTTGCGGCTTTAAAGTTCCTCCCAGAATTAAAATATCGGCTTCAAATACAAGGGACCGCGACATCATCCAGGTCGATTGGGAAATATCAAGTTTGGAGAAAATTGGCTGAACAGTTTACCAGTTTACCCGTTAGGATTGTTCAAACACAGACGGACAGACGTTTTGCAAGGCAATAATTGATTTTTCAGTATAAGCAAGAAATAACAAAACAGATTCTGGCTACACCAGTTGGTAGACTTTTTTTCCAAATTTAGCAACTGGATTTATACACTTTCTCGCTACAAGGGTTCGGCAATAAGAGTTGTTTTTTGCGAAAATTTGCTGCTATTTCGCGCAAAATTACATAACTTTCTCTCTACAGCGTAAGCAGTAGCGATAAAGTAATAATTTTAATTTACTTCGTTCATGAAATTGACAGTGTCTTCATAAATTGTCAGCAACTGTATATACGGTTCCTTCGTAAACGCTAGTTATAATGGTCTCTGATTGGTTTCTGTAGTCCGAATTCTAGCACGCTATTGGCGGAAATTTTATTAATGTAATACCAGTACCTGTATTAATTGTGCTCTGCATTGGTCGACATAAATAAATCATTTTCATGTTATAGTACGTATAAAATTGTATAAGGTATCTACCAGGTTGCTTAATACAGTTACTTTTTGTTTTTATTTACCTTTCCACTGCACTGGTTTACATTAATGCATGTCTTAAAAAGTTTTAATTCACTTTAAACATCAGACGGCGGGTAATAATGTATTAAACAATTCATCTTTCAAAACATTGCTTGGTTAACAATACAAATGTGGAGGAGGCCTTGACAGATGAATCCGAGTTCACGATAAGAATTTTTAAGCAGTGATAAACAGCACCTACCATGGCTGCATTTACGATTGTAAGCAATTTAAAATCCCGAAATTTGATGTCTGTATGTTTTAATTTGAATGCTAAATATACTACCTCTGCTGTATACCAAAACGAGCGACGTATTGTTCGGTAAGTTCAAAATATGTCAATTTGTCATCCCGTTTCAAGCCGGGAATCACTTGTATTTGTTTTCATAAATCAAAAAGACAATAGTCTTCGTGAAAGCGGTGATAAATTATATTGTAATTTCATGTGAAAGAATTGGTTACGTTTCTTGGAATAAATGTCTAATATCGATTAATTGTCTGATCGACGTAAAGAATTATGAACATTGGTTATGTTAGCTTTTTCAATGTGTTAAAAAAAATTCAGTTGTCTCGGAGGCATTTGAGATTAATTTATAATTATGAATGTAGTAGGTCTACAGGTATACAAGAAAGATATATTATTATTTTCAACGTTCATTTGAAAAATTATTATAAAGAATAACCTTTTTTATGTTGTACCTTTTAACAAATTTACATAGAGTGACTGGGTGTCAATTCTTAATGGGATCACATTCATAATAGGGTTGAATATTGAGTGAAGTAAGAATTTCAACCATAACACAAGGTAGATAATTTTTTTCTTGAGTAGAAATTTTAATAAATGAATTTGAAACAAAGTTGAAGACCACGGTTCTAATATTTTAAAAATACCTGTAATTGGAAGGTAATTCTTTATAATAATAATAATGCGTAAACTGTTTTTAATATCTCTTTTACCGATGAGCTAAAAGAAGTGTACAGAATGTGTTCAAATAATTGTTTTCGATTGAAATTGAGTGAGTATTTACAAGAAATTAATGTGAGCTCACAAATACCAACCTTGAGTATTTCTGTAGAAAATATAACGTTCATGTATTCAAAGCAGAACAATTAAAAAACATTGATTCTATGCAAGGTGATTGAGTAAATTTGAAGTTTAAAACAAATGATGATTGATGTTGAGCGTGAAGTAATGTACCTAATATTGTTAGTTTTTTCTCCACATTTTGAATTTCTGATGTATGGAAGAATGGCATTAGCATTTATGAAAAATCTTTCACTATGGCTAATCAACAATTTGAATGTTATTAAAAATGCCCTACACAGTGAGATGAATTAAGAATGTGTTTATATTTTGTAACTTGTGTAGTTTGTGGAGATGCTGTTTGTAATCAGTTACATTTAGGAAGGGGATGAATTCTTAAAAGTTTGGCAGTGGGTAATAAAGATTTATGGGGTCAGTCATCATTTGGGGGATGTATGCTGTGTAGTAGGTGGGAGGTGAAAAATGAAACAGTTAAAGTGGAAGAGGAAAACAATACTGTTGTAGGGGAAAAAATTTTCAATGATGTAATTTGTTTTTGAACTTACATAACATACTCGAATTCCCTTTAGGCTGAAGTAAAAGCATATTATTTTGCCTATAATGTGTCAATTCAATTTCATTATTTCAAATGAATGTTTTGTCAAGAAGCCTAGATTATTGCTGTGGTTGGCATGTGCGAGGAATTAACACTTGTATCACAAATGTCAGGCGTATAGCTGGGAAGTCCATGATGTTTCATATTTTCTCATAATAGTTACCTGTCGTCCTGTGACATTGCAGTCACAAAATACAAATGTGTACACCACGTGATGTGGAAAGGTCTTTTTAGAAATATGTGATGATACTGTCTGATAGAAGGTGCTTTCTAAGAACGGAAAACAATGGAATGGTTAACAATGGTTTAATGATATTCTGTGTTTTATGACAAAATAAAATGTGGATAAGAAGATATTCTATATTTAACTTGAACATACCCTTTCTCTAGGTTATAAAAAGAAGTAAATGTCATTTAAAAATACATGTTTTTGTAACCAAATGCTACATATTTTAATCATTTCTATGCATATTTCAACATTTCTGTGGCATATTTTAGGGCTAAAATTTCACATAAATTTCCCAGTCCTACTCATATGTATCAAAATTTACTGTGGATGTGGAAATGCATCTTATGTTTTGAGAGTGTTGTTAAATATCGACCCGACATTATTGTGATACTGCAGACAAGGAATTTAATGTGTAGTCTGAAAAAACTTCATGTTCAGTATTAGGAAGTGTTGTACATTAGGGAGAAAAGAGGTGTATTAATAAAATAAAATATTTCCTCAATATTTTGTATAACGTGCTAATATTCACTCACATAACTAATATTTTCTGCTGAAATACTTTTTCCTTGAATACAAAAAATTATCGTTATATCCTAGAAATAATTTTAAAGCTTTTCAACACAGAATTGGATAAATAATCATAGTGTTCAACATTTCAAAATTTTTAGTACTAAATTAGTACTTCTTTCCAAGACTTTTTAATTGAAAATTGTGACATGTGTTTTAAGGGTTATGTATATGACTACATTTTCCATCAGTGTTTTTGAAGACAACTGTTTTTGACATTTTCATTTATGCAATCGAGTTAAAAATGTGTGGATAATTTAGTCATATATATTATATTTAGTCATATTTGTGAAGTAAACAGTTCTTCATGTCTACATGTTCCTATCTACATGGAAAGTAGTTAAGTAATTAAAACTAACAATTCAAAGTGATTAGTTTAAGTTCTATATGAACATTAAACCTGAATGTATTGCAAAATACTGGAGAAATTTCAATGAGCAAACAATTAAAAAGTGTGAGCGTAATTTACAAAAGGTGAAAGTATTCATTATAACATTTCTAATACCAATGAGGCGTGTCCAATAAATGCTCCATAATTTGTCGTTGATATTCTTACAAATTTGAGAAACTGCATTGATCTTATTCGAGAATTTAAATGAGGACTATTGTGTCCCTGATCCTATTTCTGAAATGAGAGAAAATGCTTTGAAGCTGAACAACAAATTCACTGTGAAAACAGACTAAGGTTCTCTGGTTTCCTTGCAAACATGTTTCTAGATGTAGTGATTGTAATCATTGCATCAACTGAGAATATGTAGAAATTGTATTGGAATGTTAGGGTATTCAGAAGTGTAAAAGGAGACTAAATCACAGAACAAAAAGTTTCTAGTTCCAAAAAATTCTTTCATTATATATTAACGATTTTTTCATCATTGTACCATGACTAAGTTGAAACACATTCATATATTACACACTTCGATAATGCTTACACCTTCGTTAAAAATGTACTGCATTACATGCCTTTTACTGGTGACATTCCTTTACCTGATGAAGAAGGAAATGATATTTAAAATAATTTAATGTTAATCAAAGAACACCACATATGGCTTTACTGATATAACAAGTAAAATAATATCAAAGTTATTGCAGCACACAATTGCATGATGATAATTTATAAATAATCTTAGCAGATATGTTGTTTCAAATATTAAGGTTGGCACATTAACATTAGAGCATAAATGAAACCAGGGCTATGGACCGAATGTGAAAATTTGCATTTTGTGCCAATAACCGTTGTACGTGTCAAGCGCGATGGGGTGTAAACAGCGGGCTCTCTGAAATTCTCATTCTTAGTTTTCAATTGTCGCCACTAGAATGCGCATCAGTCAAGTCCCGCGAGCTTTTGAAACAATTTTTCATAGATATTCTGAGAATTTCCAAAGCACGAGTGGTATTTGATAGGAGTACTCCACAAGTGAATTTATATCCAATAGAGTTCCAAAATGCACCTTATGTTGAAAATAACTGAAAGCTATGTTAAGATCAAAGAGGTTCATACGCTTTTTATTGGACATCGACATAGTGATTGATGTATACCGCCTCCTAAGGGAGATGAGTTACAGTTTATGATTGGCCAGTAGGAAGAAGCGGTAAGAAAAGGCGACAAACTTTCTGAGATACACTGCCCTGATTGGGGCATTTTGTATGAATAGTGAAACACAATTGGTTATAATTTCACGAGTGGAATAGTCTTAATTACTGGGAATTCCACTTTTTGAACTTTGCTGGGTTTTCGCTTACTATCTACAATTGTTACGTACATTTTGAAAATATTTAACTCAATTTGTGTAAATATTGAGTTTTTAAAGAAATACAAAAAAGGTCATAAAATTCTTTAAAATAGGAATTCTTATTATTTTGCTTCTTGGAGGAAAGCCATGACAATTGTGGTAAACTGGCAAAGATGTGGTTAATGACATTCCTCACTAGGATAATCACCTTAAAATTTTCCCTTTGTAGGATGAAACGAAAGAAAACTAGAAGGGCTACAACAGCACATACCTTTTCGCATTCGGAACTTTTATAATTACTGACTGAATTCGTACGAAAATTTGGCACGTTTGAACTCTGTTGCGTTTTTTGCGGTTAGGTACTGGTTACTTTTCATGGGGATCGCCGCATTGAACCAATACGTCCTCTGCGAGCATTCCCAACCCGAAAAAATGGTTGTATCGTTGGGTTTTCGAACTCGAGCGCGCAAAAAAATCCGCGTTCATTTGAATAACCACTACACCGTCACGACTGTTGCGCAGTTGAGCCCAGACTGGTCCATAAAAAATAGTCAATATTAATTTTTGAAAATTTAAAGTTTATTGAAACGTACTACGCCATAAATTCAGTGTATTGTACCCTATCTTTATTTATTTATTTTCCAAAACTAATGTTGCTACAACAGCACGTACATTCTCTCACCAAGTAACAGTTACGTTATATTATAATACTGCAATTTTTGTCCATATTGAAATCATCAGTCATCACTTTTAAAACTCGTTCTAGAAAGCTAGTCAAATTCCGCATTTTATAATTTATAACCACAATGTTTTTGTTGTTTTTTACATTTTGGAGAAATTTGAAATAAGTATATGAATGTAACGCTTTATATAATTTCTCCTTGGCAGTTGCACTCATACCACGAAACACTAATTTCAAAGATATTTTAATATCTTCAACCATTTTTAATGACTCCATTAGAGCTAATAAACCTGGCGTTTCCAATTTCTGAATTGGTGTAGACAATTTGTACAAAATTTGATTGAATATAGATGTTCATTTTTTTGCATAGTTTTTTTTAACATCCTTTATTTTTTGCATTGAAGCGGACTAAGTGTATGCTCTTGATTGTGTTCCCCTCCTATTGTCAGTTATCAAGTTATATTGAGTTACGGC